CCTTCTAGGAAGGTAACCAAAGGCAAAAGCACCTGTTGGCATATAAAGTCCAAAAGCTGGCTTATGCTTTCGGTTCTGGATTTGGCCAGCCATTCTCAAATCTGGGCAGGCAGCTGCCACTATAACAGAGTGGCTGAAATCCTAAAAGCCCCTGCGTGAAGGACAAAACACCACCAACCAGACACACTCCCTGTTGTTGCCAGGAATTAGTTGACTCTGGTGCGCCCGCAACTGGAGTATTGCACTCAGTTTTGGGTACCTCGTTACAAGAGGGATATAGCCAGGTTGGAGTCAGTGCAGCGAAGGGCCACAAAGCTGGTGGCCGGTTTGCAGGGGAAGCCGTATGAGGCGAGACTGAGGGAACTGGGCCTCTTCAGCCTGGAGGAGACTCAGGGGGGATCTGTTGGCGACATACAGGTATGTGAGGGGGTGTCACACGGAGGCGGGTAGAGACCTGTTCTCCCCTGCAGAGGAAGGCAGGACGCGCTCCAACAGAGCAAAGCTCAGGGAGCCAAGGTTTCGTTTGGATGCCAGGAAGCACTTCCTGACAGTTAGGACCCCGAGGGTGTGGAATGGGCTTCCACGGGAGGGGGTTGAGGCCCCATCGCTGAGGGTGTTCAAGAATAGGCTGGACGTGCACATGGTGGGCATGTCATGAGCGGAGCCGGCTAGTGCCGGAGGTCAGACTAGATGGCCTGGGAGCCCCCTTCTGACTCACTCTGTTTCTATGTTTCTGTGATATACCATGGCAAACAACACAAGCATCCATAATTGTACCATTAGCTATACATAAGCACTGAAACTCCCAGTTGTTTCAAACTTCTTTAAAAAATTAAACATCTTTCTCCCCTTTTGCCTCACCGTTTTCTTGCCCCAATCTTCTAGGAGGGAGAATGGGACAATCCAATTGCAAAGAATGTGTGTTCCCCCAGTGTAAAGTGAATTTTTTAGTGTGAATGACACATGCATGCACCCACCCAAAGTGGCGCAGTGGTTGGATTTGAATTTGTTGCTTATCGTTCAGCCTCAGGTGCTCCTCACCAATAAAACAAGCACCGTTCTTAAAGCAGGAGCCCAAAGCTGCTGAGGGTTGAAGGCTAGAAAACCTTTTCTGTAGGGGCTTTTTCCAAAGCAGACCCCCAGCTGGGCAGCCTGACAGGAAGTCAAAACAAAAGGACATTTGCTGGATTGATGCTCGACACACAGAAACTGTCCAAACAGTTCAGGTTCTACTGCACGATTGCAAATGGGAACCATCAAACTGTAGACAGCCCCGCTTTTTAGGTGCCTAAAACAGCTTCGGGAAGATGAGCTTGCTTTGCTTCTGCATCTGACGATCGCCATCCATTTGCAAGATCTTGTTGTTGTGAGTTGCAAAGTCGTGTCCAACCCATCGCGACCCCATGGACAACATTCCTCCAGGCCTTCCTGTCCTCCACCATCCCCCAGAGTCCACCCAAACCCACACCGACTGCCCCAGTTACTCCATCCAGCCACCTCATCCTCTGCCGTCCACTTCTCCTTTTTCCATCAATTGTTCCCAGCATCAGGGTCTTCTCCAGGGAGTCCTTCCTTCCCATTAGGTGGCCAAAGTGTTTGAGCTTCAGTTTCAGGATCTGGCCTTCCAAAGAGCAGTCAGGGTTGATCTCCTCTAGGACTGACCGGTTTGATCGCCTTGCGGTCCAAGGGACTCGCAGGAGTCTCCCCCAGCACCACAATCCAAAGGCCTCAATCCTTCCGAGCTCAGCCTTCCTTATGGTCCAGCTTTCACAGCCATACATTGCAACTGGGAAAACCATAGCCTTGACTATATGTAATGTTTTTGGCAGGGTGATGTCTCTGCTTTTTAGTATGCTGTCTAGATTTGCCATAGCTTTCCTCCCCAAGAGCAAGCATCTTTTAATTTCTAACAGGCCCCAAATGGATTGATACAACCCTACAAAACAGCATTCTCTTTCAAACCTTCCCAAGAAATGCAAATATATTTCAGGCGAGTGGGAGAAACAAAGGTTTGTGGGCTGCTGGCAATGGCTTCATGATAGGGCTTTTATTATATTCTCATTTATTCTATTTCCTCCCTGGTGGAACTCAAGGTAGGGACATGCAAGTCCCAGGGGTCTCCCCTCCAAGCTCAAGCCAGCCCCACACCTGCTCAGCTTCAACACAGCCAATGCCTGATGCCCCTTCAGCCTACACTCTTGGCATTCCTGTCAGCCAGAAAGCCAAATTCCATCTTGGAGATGCTCTTTGCCCTTCCCGTGGTGACTGATGCACATGAGCCAGAGCCAAACCAAGCTCTTTCTTTTAGTACTAATCAACTAATTAGGCCTCAAGAGACGCAAGCACTAAATAAATCTCCTTTCCCTGACCATCTTGTAACATCCAAAACTCAACACACACCAGTACAAACTAAAGCAAAGGGGTTGAAATGCAGTTTTCTGCAAACTGCTGGGACAAGTTATGTCAACAGTCAGCGGTTTTAGATGGGAATGAAACCAATCCATGAAAGAGACCTGTGGAAGAGTTTTCATAGCTAAGGAAAAGTTGCAGTCACAGAGAAAATGACTCCATCGCTTAAGTTTTGAGCGCTACAAAGGTGGTCAAGATGGATATCTTTGCATCCTGCTTGTAGGTTTCCTGAAGGCATGTGGAAAAGTAGAACTGGAACCCATATTAAATTAGCTGGGCCTCTTCTTCCGATTCAATGGGATTCTAACAGAATTATCTGTAAGATAACACCACAATGCCAGGATGCACCTAATACAGCATGCAAGGACAGCTGCTTCCTTGTTCTCTCTCTGTAAAGGGTTCAGAGCAACACTGGGATCTTTTACACATGAGTAGGAAGAGAGTACATGCTGGGACATGCACATCTCTTGTTGGGAAGATCAGAGGTTATCCCAGATAAGCTGTTAACCAATTCGTTGTCTCCACTCCCCAGTCAAATATGTAATACAAGAATCAGAATACATCCCTAGGCATAAGGAGGTGACTTGCGATCTTTGGGGAGTTTTGACCCACAACGTCCCCCAACTGTAGCCAGCAAACTTAATGGTGAAGGCTGATGGGAGCTGTATTCTTCTTGCTTTTCATGGCCTATACCTGCTCACAAGGATTACAAGCCACCCAAGAATCATGCCTGAACCCATGTAGCACCCGATCAGGTGGCCTTCAGATGTTAACCAACAACTCTCAGTGCCCAGTCAACATCGCTGGAGTTCATGTCAGCTGGGACAACAGAACGCGAGGTTGCATGCTTGAAATATACGCCAGAAAACCTCCAGAAATGGCTCACACAGCAAGTCAAGCAGACCATTTTATTTGTCTCTTGAGAAACCTCAATGTGGGTCAAGCAGCAGCAGTGAGAACTGGACACGGAACCAATGATTGGTTCAAAATTGGGAATACTGGCTGAATACTGTCGCCCTGCCTATTTAACTCATATGCAGAGCACACCATGAGAAAGGCGGGGCTGGATGAATCTCCAGTCGGAATTAAGATTGCTGGGAGAAATATCAACAACCCCAGATATGCAGATGATACCACTCTCATGGCAGAAAGTGAAGAGGACTAAAGAGCCTCTTGATGCGGGTGAAGGAGGAGAGCGCAAAAGTTGGCTTGAAACTCAACATTAAGAAAACTAAGATCATGGCATCCAGTCCTCTCACTTCCTGGCAAATATAGGGAAGAAATGGAGGCAGTGACAGATTTTATTTTCCTGGGCTCTAAGATCACCGCAAACAGGGACTGCAGCAAAGAAATTAAAAGGCGCTTGCTCCTGGGGAGGAAAGCTATGGCAAATCTAGACAGCATACTAAAAAGCAGAGACGTCACCCTGCCGACAAAAGTGCGTATAGTCCAGGCTATGGTTTTCCCAGTTGCAATGTATGGCTGTGAAAGCCGGGCCATAAGGAAGGCTGAGTGCCAAAGGATTGAGGCCTTTGGATTGTGGTGCTGGAGGAGACTCCTGCGAGTCCCTTGGACTGCAAGGTGATCAAACCGGTCAGTCCTAGAGGAGATCAACCCTGACTGCTCTTTAGAAGGCCAGATACTGAAGATGAGACTCAAGTGCTTTGGCCTCCTAATGAGAAGGAAGGACTCCCTGGAGAAGAGCCTGATGCTGGGAACAATATATGGCAAAAGAAGAAGGGGTGGCAGAGGATGAGGGGGCTGGATGGGGCCACTGGGGCAGTGGGTGTGAGCTAAGGTGGACTCCGGGGGATGGTGGAGGACAGGAGGGCCTGGAGGAATGCTGTCCAAGGGGTCGTGATGGGTCGGACACGACTTTGCGACTAACAACGACAAGCAAATCCTTGCCAGCAAGTCAACAATCTAAAAGTCACGACATGCAAGGAAACAGGAGCAGGGAAGGAAGAGGCTATGGTGGAGAATCCTTTCTGCAAGGCGGGTGGAAAGGCCCTTTTCCCTTCTTCACTCCCTTAGTGCTGCCTCCAGGAATGGAGAGCTGACCCCACTGAGAAGGTACTAAGTTGCAAAGAGCTGCACTTGCTGTGCCAGCCAAGCACAAATAATCCAGATTGCAATTTTACGCACACATTTGGGAGTAAATCCCACTGACTTTAAAGAAGGCTACATCGCAGGCGGCACCTACAGGACTGCACTGCCAAACTAGCAATTAAATCTGGCCAGAAGTAAAAATTCTGTGAAGACAAGACACGCTCTTTTTTCCCCATGAACTGCAGCCTCTTTCATGAGGTAAGAGTTGTTTTCAAACAGGATTTACCTGCAGTTTATCTGCAGTTTTAAAGCACTTGTGTTCTATACAGAAGATCCTACTCAATTGGGAACAGTTTATAATACAATCGTATGAATTTCTACTCAATTGAAATCCTCACCAAATTCAACGGGACTTACTCCCTGGTAAGTACGTAACCTCCAATTATTAAAACCCCTTTTCTCGGTGAACGGTTTGATTTCGCTTTGCAGGCCTAAAGACAGAAAGACAGACAGACAAGCAAGCAGAAAGACAGACACAAACATTTATACTGTGCTTTCAATAAGTGAAGTTCATTTATTGTTATTGGGTGGGAGCATAAGGCAATGGTAATACAATGCAAATTGATTTACACAGCACAATGCAGAATAAGCAGCAGGCAAGTAGAATTCATTCTGCTCCCCTGCCCTGTCTCACCCCGAAACAAAGTTAGTCCCTTTAGAAAGGAAGTGCATAAACATGGCATTACATATCCGAGTCAGTATCATATTAAGACATCTTGGAAGCTGTACATTAGCGGGCAAACCAGTCACTGGCGGTGGGTTATTCTGAAGCAGGGTGTGGATGGTGGATCTTAGATCTCAAGCTAAGAACCAAAAAAAAGCAAAAACGGGTCTGCCATTTGTAGTGTGGGCAGAGCCATGGCAGGACAAGGGTTGTAGCGCAGAATCTGCTCCCAAACATGTGCAGAGCTCTTTGGCTAACCTTTCCTGCTCTGCTCAACTCTTTGGCAGGTCTTTGCCAGCTATGCTCTTTGTTCCCAGATGTAGGAGCTCCTATTATGTACTGGATGAAGTGACCAGCAGGTCTGCATCCAAGCTCTGCAAGGCTCCCCATTGTGGGTTAGAATTTTTTCCGGGTATGCAGGGAAGTGACCTCCCTAAAATGTAACACAGAAAATCCCACCAGAAGTTAGAAACTGGTAGTTGGCAAAGTCTTCCCAAGAAGGTCTTGATTCCTAACCCACAAATCCCTTCCATGGCCAGAAATGGGAGTTTAAAGCTGCCAAAATGGGAAGGAGAGCACGCAAAAAACAGAAGGGATGGCTGTGTAAACTGAGAAGCGTTTGCCTGTCATGGCACAGCTGGCAACCTGGTAGAGGATGCACTCTAAAAGGGCTTCTCCGGCACATAAAAATCGCCAGCAGCCCAGGCTACGTATCCAGGGTCCTAGTGACTGTCCACGCGGCAGCCTCGAAAAGGGTACCGTGATATTTGGCCTACATCAGTGCTCAGTGATTCTCAGAGGGCTGAATGCAAACCGCTGAAAGTCTGCCGGCAGCTTTCACGTAAGGAGAAGTACAATTAAGGCAAAGACAAAGCTGCCCAAGTGGACAGTGACACTTATTATACTTCCAAGGCGGTTTCAAGCTTTCGTCTAAGTCAGAGCAAAAACCAGTCATGCTAAAGACCCACTCCTAAGGTTTTTTTTGGAATGTTTTATGAGATCTCAGAAGGCCTGTAAACAGACTGGATTTGGGACATGAAAGACACGTGTGCGTGCACACCCTACCAATTCCAAAATAAAGTTTGGAGGTGTTTGCCCTCCTGTGCTAACAGCATTTTCTCTCTTTGGCTCATCTGTTAACATATCCATGCAAAATTTCCTGGAGATACAGAGAGAAAGTACTGAATCATACGTTGTACTTACAAGATGTCAGTTTTAAGTGAGGAAAGAGAACCCTTAAGTGTAAACAAAATCTGAGACGGGGAACCTGAAGGGAGGAAAATGGAAGAGGCTTCCATGTTAAGGCACATGTCTCAGTGACTGGTCCCCACAGTCTCGTCGTCCCCCAGACCCAAATGAAGTGCTTCACATTGCTATTTTTACTCCCAAGTGTGAGAAACTTCCAAAAATATTTCTTGTAGTCATACAGTTCATAAAAAAAGGAGACCTTTCATGAACAAACATGAAATCAATAGTGCTCAAGGTATGTATCCATGTACCTTGCAAAGTCTCTTGGGAAAAAAATGCCCTGCATATTTAGGCAAGAAGTACAACTTTTTTTCCTGCATGGATGTAAAATAATCCCCCACAAAATTTGGAAGCTGGTGAGAATGCTGCATTTCCCAAGAAAAAGGAGCGTTCTCTGGCAATAGCCATCTTTCCGAAATTGATGTATTGTGTGGCCTTTGCGGGTGCTGCTCCGGCAGTACACAAACTGGGCATCCCTGCTCCAAGTCCCAAGAGAAAGGAACTAGAATGCCTGCGGGGCCACAATTCAGCCCCACAGGGAGGTTCGGGGTCACAAGGACTTCTGCAGGGTGCAGTGGAAACGTCACTGGTACATGAAGTGGCAAAGCTGGCTGAGATATGCTTATGTACTTCTTTCTTTCTACAGTTACGTAGGAAGATGGATGGCAGCCCTGTATGTTGGCACAGACTGGGTCGAAACAGTGGCAGCACCTGCTTCTCCACAATTCCAAGAGGCAACGCAAGAGTTTTGTAAATGGAACCCAGAGCTTGTGAAGTTGGCCAAAAGAAATCACACAATATAACCAGGGTCGGGATGGGATGATGCACAGAACACAAAACCATACTTTCCCAAGAACAACAACAAAAAGAACACGCCCCAAACCTGCGATAGAGTTTTGCACCATCCCAAAACAGAACCATCCATCAAGCCCGACGGGTCAGGTTAGGGCCATCGGTTGATACTGGGGTAAGTGGGGACCGTGGGGTAGGCTGGAAGGCTGTTTCCTGAGAAGTTGTTGATTTGGTCTTCGCGGCTTGGGGGGTCCCTCCACAAGCCCCTCTGCCATTCATCTTGTGCCTTCTGAAGGCTTCCTTCTCCGCCGCGGTAGATTTGGTGTACCTGAACAGAGAAAGGAAGGAAAAGAGCAATTAATCGCATTTCTGAAACACATACAGCCTCCCCACCTGTTTGTCAGAAACCGAGTGCTTTTATGAACCCAACCATCTGAACAACAGTTAAATTTGGTGGCAACTGCAAAAGAGGCAAATTCACAGCGAAGGACAGCCTCTGATTATTATTAGATTTATACCCTGCCTTGTTTCTTACAAAGAACTCAAAGCAGCTTACGGCATTCTCCTCCTGCTGTTGCCCATCCTGTTCCCACAACAGCAACCCTGTGAGGTAGGCTGCACTTGAGAGTCTGTGATGGGCCCAGGGACTAGAACCTGGACTGCCTGAGTCCCAGACCCGCACTCTTAACACCACACTGGCTATATTATTTTCTATACTGCCTCATAGCAGAAGCTCTTCAGGAAGTTTACAACAAGATCCAAGGACTAGCCCAGGATTTCCACACCAGTGTGCGAGGCAACAGCAAACAGGCCGCTTGCTTGCAAACAATGGAATGCAATAAAATTAGAACACAGACAGCTCACAACTCTGCCTCCACCTGATTCTTGCAGACTAGCAGCTTTCCATTGGCAAGGGCCCCCTGCTGTTTTAAGGAAAGAGGCCCAAGTAAACCTTTCTTTGTTGCAGTTCTTGCTCTGCTCAATTAGAAGGTAACTCACGCAGAGACACAACCACCATCCTCTTTAGGGTGGGTTCAGCTACGACTGGGAAGGATCGAAAGGTCTAGTCATGCAACCATTACAAACAGAACAACTAGTGGGAGTTGAGTGGAAGGACATGAGCTCCAACAGGCACTCATCCAGACATGCAGTAAGCAACCTCCTATCTAGATGGATGTTCTGGGAAAACAGTTGCCTTTTAGTTAAGTCCTTCGTAACACAGTCGTTCTGGTGCAAATTCACCGCTTAGAAACTCGGTGATGCTTACTTCTGACTGTGCAGGTTTCAACTTAATGGAGCACGCTTTTTGTCCAGCTGAAACACAGCCTTCAGATTTTATTAAGAAATGCAGGCCACCTTGCACAGGCAAGCCAGCTCTTAGCCGGGTAGGACAAGGCCGAGCAGCTTTTGGAATTACACACCTACCCCTGCTTAGCTGAACTGGCTGCCAAATTGTGGTGCTGCGGCAGAAAAAGGACTGTTCTCTCTTTAAAGCCAGCTCCCTTATCCAGCCCGCAGATGAACTTCAGCAGCAAACCACTGCTTGCTTTCCTCCCAACAAAACAAGCCAGCTTTTCTCTGCTGCCATTCGGATAATTTTTGCTGGTGGGTTCGTGGTTGTTGGTACAAGGGTCACCTGAGGGCCTACAGATCACACTTTCGGTGCTTGACTGAAGTTGGAACCTTGCCAGAAGTAAAGCAAAGACTTACTCAGCTTTGGTTGGACCTCTTCTTTCACTCGGGCAATTCTTCTAGACTGATCCATCACAAAAAACACAAAGATAAGCATTCATTACCCCGGCAGCTGCCCCATCATTCCTGCTCCAAAAAAAGGCCGAGCAAGCCTGAGCCTTGACAAAAATCTACTTACGCGGAATAGGCAGAAAAGCATCACAACTGTTGATATAGTGAACATCATCGCCGAGAAAGTCATTATTACGGCAGCCCCAACATTAGTACTATAGAACAGCACGGCAGACATCCAACCACTGAAAGAGCAGGCAAAAGGAGGAGTTTCAGAAACGATTGTTCATCTCTCAACAAACTTGTAAGTTAAGATACCTGTGTGTTGTCACGACAAAACAAGGAAGCCCTTCAATGACCTCCATTTCTCATTTCCCTAGAACCTGGAATCTCTACTTAAGTTTAGGAACAAGCCAGGATAGGAAACCATGGTCTGCAGTTGCTTTATCTTGGCTTGTTCCAAAGCAGGTAATCAGAGTTTCCCAGCAGGGAGGTTCAAGCACAGGGCTCAATAAGAGAAGACAGTTCGTAGGAACACGTTGCTCCCCATGCATTTGTTTGCTAAAAGGAAATGTGTAGCCCCTTCTAAACCCCACTTTAAAAATGGAGCTTCTGCAATGACACCTGTCTAACATTCATTCCTGTAGGCGGTGCGTTTCTTAGCTCTGCGTGTCCAAGAAGGCAGAGGCTCCAAAGGCCATCTGGAGCACGTGGGTCAGGTTTGCTGCCCATTCCAATTTAATCAAGCATCGATCCAAATAAGGGAAAGCTAAGACCCCAGTCTTTGCCAGATGTAGTGTAAATAACCTTCAACCTTCTCAAAAAGAACTTAAAACTTTTTCTTTATTAAAAAAAGAATCAAGAATTGCTAAAGGACAAGGAGTTTCGTACTCACCAAGCTCCCCAACCGCTGAATCCAATCGTTTGTAAGATAGACAGTAGCAACTGCATTCCCATAAGGAAGAAAAAGAGCATGAAATTGAAGGAGCTGTCTGACCTGTGAGCAGGAAGGGAAGGTTACTTAGTGCACAAGCAAACTGACAAATAAAAAAAAATGTGGTGGTTATGGAAGGAAAACTGTGAATTAGCAAAGAAAATAGCTCCTTGAAGAGTTGGAGGAGTTGTCCCCCCCAGTCTAAAAAATAAAAGCATAATAAAAAGGAAGGATCAAAATTCGTGGCAGAGGGGACAGTGGAGGATACGCACAGAAAAGCCTCGAGAGAGCAGAGCAAACCCGTTTCCCACCGAAAGGTGGAAGATTCAATTGGCGTTTCCAAAATGTCAGACTGCACTGTCCAAAATGCAGGAAGGAATGTTCTGCCACGTTTCCTTGGAAAGATTCTGCGGGGTCTTTTACGGATGCGTTTCCCTGCAAGCGAACTGAGAAAATGTATTTCATCACAGCAGGGTTACGACTGAAGAAGGCCAGAAAGAGAGGTCAGAGGCCGTGTGCTATGGGAACTCAATCCAGCTGACTCAGCTCCCCAAGAAAGAGAAACGAACAAAACAGGAATCCAGTCATTTCCAATTTAAAAAAAGCATCCGCTGGAACAAAAATCTCTAGCATTCTCCAGTTAGCCAGGCTTAAACTGACTTAGATCTACTCCACATGATCGTGATGTACATGGACTACAGAAGCATCCCGCGCCATTTCAGTCTGCGAGAACCCAAGCAAGTAGAATTCCAAAATAACAACAGGGGAAAAAATGGGCTAGGGCCTTCATTTTCGGAAAGTTAGATTTTACTTGCAGAGAGCTGCTTTTGAAAGCAAAAGCCACAGGAGGCTTTTAAAGCAAAATTTTGCTTTCTCTCTCATTAGCCTTGGATATGTGGTGTTTTAGAGAAGAGGGATAAAGGCAACCCAAGGGGCCACTCACCGAAAGGCCTTGTAGACTGGGCGGAACCAACAGACATAACTACAAGGGCTGAAAAGTGCAAGCCATAGCATAGCCAAGCCAAAGTTGATCCCGTAGCCACCACCAATCCACCAGGCTAGGCAGGCAACCAGATTCACTACCAGTGTGATGGAGTAAACTGTGGATAAAAAGAGGACTCAGTAAATTATGGCTTTCAAAAGAGGCTGCTAGGGGAAGGCTTCTCAACCTCACGTCCCTCGTGGAGGGCAAACATACGTAACAATCAAACAGGGCGCTTTTTGCATCTGCTTTCACCACTGATGACAATCCACCCTTCCAAGCAAGCCAGCTTCTATGCAGTTTTGTCTACTGCTATTTTTATTTTCTTGGCAAGGGCGAGTATAAGGGCTTGCAGTTTGCATAAGTTATCCTGATTTCACTTACTGAAGGAAGAACCTATGCCTGAAAAGCTCACCCTGTGCCCCAATGACTAGAAATCCTTTTCCACCTTGGGTCAGGAGTTTTCTTACAACCTGCTTTGCTGACGTACTTCCAGGCATCTCTCTAAGCCACTAAGGAATAGCAGTGAGCTCTTTTTTTAAAATAGAGTTTAAGCTTATTTCCGGAAAGCACTTGGCTGTGCTTTAACTCCAAGAACACGAAATTAAACTAGAAAAACCCCAAGTTAACCCTTGTTCCTCCACTCCCAGAGCATGGTTTCCTTGAACTTACATATCCAGAGTTGATAGATTCTTCTCACAATCAGCTGGTAATCTATTGGAATCTCATCGTTCAAGTTCTGGTAGAAGCATGGCTTCAGAGGGATAAACTTTGGAAGTGGTGGGAAGTTGTTCACCTTCTCTGCAAAGGCAGAATGAGAACATTGCTGCTGCTTAGACAGGCATGTGGCAGTTTCTAAAGCCAAGCATAGCACACGGAAACACCTCTTGCCCCAAAAGCTAGAAACTGCAAAATGGACATGAAAGGAGAAGTGCTTAAGGGTGTCTGAACTTCTGCATATTGCTTAGCAGAAGAAATGAGAGAAATGGGAAACTGGAAGTTGGAAAGAGGATGAAAATAGGAAACTGCAGCTGCTTGAATGAATTTTTGCAGGCTAAGCTTCTGTGGAAGGCTTTATTTGCGTGCTCTTTGCATGATTCTTAAACAGGCGTCAGAAGTTGCTTGAGGAAAAGCAAGAAGGGGGAAAGCACTCAATCCAGGCTCGAGTGATTCCGCTTTTCTTCCTTACCTGCCATTTCTCCAAGGGTGCCACCCAGGGGAGTTCAGGATCACTCACGACTGGTCTACAAGAGACAAGAAAAATTCTTAAGCTACATAAGAATTTGTGCCTCTATTGCCCAAGAGTGTCCTTTGGATCAGCTTGTGGAAAGCACGGAGTTCTGTTATTTGTCACTGTCTCTTAACACTGAATTCAGGAACTGAATATGACACGCAAACCCCACCTCCTTAGGGGCCAGCCCACCAGTGGAAAAAGTTGATCTATCGGGGGGCAGAGAAAATAGGATGAGGACTAAAACCCCAAAGCATTGAGACCTGTTTTATGACTGCATTGCTCCCCACAAGGAATTCCTTCTGCCTCCCTTACATAGGAGAGCAGCTGAGCCCAAGGAGTCTATCTTCTGTAAAGGTGCTGCAGTGTGATGGTTAGAGCAGCCTAGCCCAAACTGGGTGCCCACCAATTCAGGTCCCATCAGCCACAGTCAGCAATGGAAGCCTGGAACCCATCAGTGGGCAGATCCGACCACACTGCTGAGAAGGGGAGTGGGTGCTCTCCCCATGCATCTTGGTTTTAATGGAGCGTGTCCCTCTTGTGTAAATTTTGAGGGGGGACAACAAGAATGGGGGCCATAAGTAGCCCATGTGCCACATACAAAGCTGGGGAATACTGGAAATGGTAGGGCTTTGAAGTTCCGTTTCATCAGAACGTCAAAGCAATGCTGATTTCAAGGAAGCCAGTTTAAAGGGACCCAGCCTGATTTCCAGGAAAGGTGGGGGAATTCAGGAATCCAAACCAGGAATCCAGTGGGTTCACTGCCTCACAGAAACCTGGGATTGATCACCTTAAGCATTTGCTCCATGGAATAAAACTGAGCAAAACAAGACTGAGGTTGAATTGTGGCAGGACACATTCCTTTTCATGGGATTCAAATGTCATCCTATGCATGTTCAGGCAGAAAAGAAGACCTCCAAATCCCACATTCTCAAACCAGCAATGCTGTTTATGCAACTTATGAAATAAATGAGCCAAACAAACTTTATTATAAAGTTCCACAACTGGAGAATTGCTGGAACGTTTGAAAGGGACATTCAGAGTAGCTCAGAAAGCTGCATTTGTGGTAACGCTTTTCCCAAAAGGAGTCCAGGCTGCACACACAACTGTTTGCAGCTGTTCATCACTGTAGTTCCTGAAAACAGAAATGCTTTTAAAATGCTGTTTAGTAATTCACCCTTTGGCTGTTTTAAAAATCTTTCAATATGCTTATTACTAGCATTTGGAAAAACATGACTAAGAATAAGCCTAACCATGAGGAGGAACATGGAAAAGAGGACAACGTTGCAAGTTTATCAAGTTTCTGGTCCACATAGTGCAACCTTTCTCCTTCTAAGAAGCTGCTTTCCAGAGAAGGGCTTGTCCCGTCCCCAGCTTCTGATTTTTGTTGCTGGAGTCGGGCACAGGATACAGACCAGGGTAGCACAGCTAGAAACTGCCTTGTGGCCCTCTGGATGTTGTCTGACTACAATTCCCGTCATTCCAGGCCATTGCCCATGTTGGCTTGAGTTCCAGAACGCCCTGACCCAAGAAGCATGAATGAGACCATGCAGAGGCTGAGAAATCATAAAACAGTGTGGCGACTGTTAGCATATTTCAGAAACGGAGAAATGAAACAAACAGGCTTCTGAAGCCCGTTATTCAGGAGAAAATCAAAAGAAATGTAGGAAAAAGAGCGTCCGGGCGTGGGCGTGACGGACCTTTCAAAACAAGGCGAGCAATGCAATATCTTTCTAGTCATAATGAGGCGCGAACTCCCGCTAAAGAAAAAACAGAAAAATAAGTATTATTGGAGCAGCCCCCAGAGCTCCAGGCCACCTCCAAGCCTTTGAGCTTTTACGCTGGCAGGAGTGACTGCGGCAAAGTTGGCAGGAGCAGCAAGAATAAAGTTTGTTGTTCGGCGTTCTTGCAAATTTCCGGAGATAACGATGACAAACTTTGCAAGAGGCGCAACCACAGATTTGCGGGAAGAAGAAGTTCGCAAGAAAAGCCTGCAAGAAGAGTAAAGCTTGCAAGACGAAAAATAAACTTGCGAGGATAATTGCAATACAGACAACAGAAGCATTATTAAAGCCCCAGTAATTACGTTGGCAATAATATTAGCCGCAACCACGCTAACAATTCCCGGACCTGCAATGCCTACCAGCCGGAGAGCGATCCACTGCACTACCCCTTCACACACACGCGCGCAACCCCGTGACACCGCCTTTTACGCGTTCGGCCGTGCAAGGGCCGCCCCGCCTCCCGAGCCAGCCAATCAGCGTGCAGTTTCAGCCAGGGGCCGGGGGGCAAGGGACTTCGCCCCTCAATCGGGCTTCGCGTTATTTGCGTCGCGCCGCTCCCAGCGGCTGCCGCAGTTCTTTGCTCTTCTTAGGGCCTTTCGCCCGCAGCCGCGGGGCGCCTCTGGAATTCGCAGTTCCGCAGAAGCCGCTCTCGGTAGGGTGCAACGGGTCGTAGAACTACGACTCCCAGCACACACCGCGACCAGGCGGATCTAGACCCGCTTTTCAGTCACGTGAGCGCGGGGTTCTTCTCGGCCACGCATTCATAGATCTGTCGGAAAGAAACACAAACTTTCTAATAGAATCACACGCAGGGTCGTTACTCCGGGATGAAGTTGGATGATTTTTTTGTCTTGTTTTCGAGACAAGGGAAAAAGAATATACATTTTTATTTTGGGTATAGCGATTTCACTCTGCCTGTGCTTTGCATTCACGAGGGCCCAGCTCTTTCCCCGACGTGTGGAGTTTGAAGAACCATAATTGAGCTACCTCACAGGGTTGTTGTGAGGATAAAATGGAAAGGAGGTGAATTATGTTAGCCATCTTGAGTTCCTTGCAGGAAAAACAGCGGGGTGTAAATATAACTACATAAAAGGACTCAGTTTACGCCACATGGGAAACTCACAAGGTGCAACAGAACTCTCCTACCCATGCTCCCCAGCAGCTAGAGTACTAAGGAATGCTGGGAGTCCAAAATATTAGGGGGCAGGTCGATGCTGTGATAGTGGGAGAGGCAATTGCATTCAGCACATGCAGCAAGATTCATGCATTAATAGAATTTCTGGAAAGAAGCAGAGAAAAGGAGCGCTTACATCCATATATGCCCAGCCTCCCCCTGAGATCGGCGGGAGAGGCCCTTCTCCGGGAGCCCTCCGTGAGAGAAATTAGGAGGGTGGCTACTCGGAGGAGGGCTTTCTCAGCGGTGGCGCCTAAGTTATGGGATGCGCTCCCCAGAGAGGTCCGCCTGGTGCCGTCGTTATTTGTTTTCCGGCGCCAGGCGAAGACCTTTTTATTTAAGCAGCATTTTAAATGTTAATACCACTGAATTTTATCTGGCCAGGGCGGCTTATTTTATAATGTGTGTTTTAAATTATTATGATTATTTTATATGTATATTTTAACTTATTGGTTTTATTTATTGTTGTAAGCCGCCCCGAGGCTTCGGCGAATGGGGCGGCATAAAAATGTTTTAATAAATAAATAAATAAATAAATAAATAAAAACAAATTACAGGGAACAGGGACAAATGCAGACCAAGGCTCACTGAACAGGCATATAATGGCCATTTAGGACCTGACAGGAGGAGAGTTTTCAGGGCCTGGGAGCTGCTTCCAAGGGAGAAACAGACCAAAAAAAAAAAACCCTGCCAGAGTCAGAGCAAAATTTAAGTCTTTAAAGACTGTGCCCTTGGCGTTTTATCAGGTGCTGCTGATTAGAGTCTGCTTTACACAACTGCACTTTGCAATCAGCACAGATTATGAAAGAACCAAATTCTGCACCTATGCATCTTGTGCATAAAGTGATGGAGTTTATTTATATATCACCTCTGTTCAGGACAGCCACTGCCTCACCTGGAGTAGATAATATTATATAAATTATAATTTATAATTATATAAATTATACTTTCAGAATATAAACTCCATTTATATTATATTATCCACTCCAGGGGAGGCGGTGGCTGTACTGAACCAGTGCCTGGCCGAGGTGATGGGCTGGATGAGGGCCCATAAACTGAGCCTCAATCCAGATGTGATGGAGGTCCTTTTGGTGGGTGGTTCGGGTTTTCAGGTAGGTGATTTTGGCCCAGTCCTGGACGGGGCTGCACTCCCTCTAAAGGGCAGGATCCACAGCGTGGGAGGATCCCTCGACCTGGAGCTGTCACTGGAAATCCAGGTGGCAGCGGAGGCGAGGAGTGCTTTCCTACAGCTCCGGCTGGTCCACCAGCTGCGTCCTTACCTGGACAAACACTGCCTAGCAACAGCGACACACGCTCTGGTAACCTCCGGGCTGGATTACTGAAACTCGCTCTATGTGGGGCTGCCCTTGAACATGGTCCTTCAAATGGATACTTCAACTGGTACAAAATATAATGGCTGCTGACGGGGAATGGCCATTATTCTCATACAATGCTGGTCCTCTACCAGCTCCACTGGCTCCCAGTTCAGGTCCTGGCCCAATTCAAGGTGCTGTTTTTCACCTGAAAAGCCCTGACCATCTTTGGACTGGGTTACCTGAAGGAACATCTCCTTCTTTATCTGCCCTCATGCCCCTTAAGATCAGTGAGGGAGGCCCTGCTCCGGGAGCCCTCTTTTAAGGAGATAAAAAGAACAACTACCTGGAGCAGGGCCTTGTCTGTGGTGGCACCCAGATTATGGCATGCGCTCCCTGGAGAGGTGCGCCTGGCACAGAGTTTATATTCTTTTTGGCGTCAAGTTAAATATTTAAATGTTATTTTTAAAATTAGTATTTTAATGTTTTAACAGTTACTTTTTATTTAATTTACTTTTACTGGTATGGATTGTTTTATTGTATCTTGATTTTAATTACTGTAAGCCATCCTGAGACGCTATGCCTAAGGGACGGCATATAAAAGTTTTAAATAAATAAATTCAGTCTCCTACTTCCTAGCTTTAGCATTGTGCCTAGCTTCTGTGTTGTTTAGAAGTGCATGCATTCCCAATTAGAGTTTACAGAGTGTTTATGGACCACGAGATAAGCTCCAATGCCATGACTGTGTCCTTTTAAGAATCTTGTGTCCACCTCCTGCATTTGGAACAGAAACAAGGTACATGCATTACTCTGACTGGGACAAGTCAGTTCAGCTGCTTAAAGCACCCTTTTCATACACATTTCTCAGATCATACATAAGCGCACACGCATGTAGCAGAGCAAAATGTACATTAGATCCAAAATGATCCAAGTTGAATAGGTACATGCCCCTCGTGTTTCACAAGGACTTTTAAAGAGGAATCTCTTTCTCAAGCCCTCTTAGGGTTCCTTTGCTAGTTCCCCAGTTCAGCGCACCTCTTTTCCCAGCTGCAGATTCCACTGCATTTTGTAGGCCTTTCTCACTACTGTTTGGTGGCCAGTGGCTGAGGAATGGGCATGGCCTTCTGGGAATTGGCCAACAAGGCATGCAGGATTTGGCCCCAAGTTCACAAATGCTCCACCTAGACATGGGTTAATTCCCAGTTCAGTCATGTTGTATATTATGGACTTTTTGATTGGTCACCACACCTATGATTCCAGCTGTTCCTGGCAGTGTCTACCTCTCACAAGAGTTTCAAACTTTTTTTCTAAGATCAAATTGGTTTCCATCAAAACCTCCTGAAATCCAAGGAATTATAATTTGGTGCATTCAGCTTTAACCATGTTCCTTTTCTTGTGCTTTCCACCTGTACTTTCCTTTGTGCAGTTCTATACCTCTGAAGCATACTATTCTTTGAGTGCTTGTGAGTGCAACAAACCTCTTTCTCCTGAAGGACAAAATTCAGTTTATGAAATGCTTTTTCAAAGCTTTCACTCCCAGTAAGTCAGTCTTTGAAAAAGCATTCCTTTGAAGAGGGCGAAAGCTGGAGAACCACCAATTGGCAATACAGTGTGTTCAGTTCTGGGCACAGCTGCTTGAGAAAGGTTCCGGAAAATAGAAAAGGTTCAGAATAAAGATGATCTGGAGAGCCAGTGTGGTGTAGTGGTTTAGAGCATTGGACTGAGACTCAGAAGATCTGGGTTCTAGTCCCTGCTCAGCCATGGAGCCTGCTGGGTGCCTTTGGGCCAGTCACAGCCTCTCAGCCCAGCCTACCACACAGGGTTGTTGTTGTGCGGATAAGATGATGGAGGAGAATGATGTAAGCTGCCTTGAGCCCTTTGTAGGAAAAAGGCAGGATATAAATCGATAAATAAATAAATAAATAAATAAATATATCTGGGGACTGGAAGCAAAGTCCTGTGAGAAGAGATTGAGAGAAATGGGCATACCAGCCTCAAGAAGAGAAGGCTGGGTGGTGGTGGGGGGGGGGCGGGGGGTTGGATAGCACCCTACAAGTGCTTGAAGGACTGTCACAAAGAGGAAGGATGAGAACTGTTCATCGTTCCAGGGAGCAGGACGTGGAATAATGGGCTCAAGTTGCCGGAACCCAGATTCTGGCTAGATAGTAGGAAAGTTCTCATGGCTGTTGGAGCAATATGACAATGGAACCAAAGACCTGGGGAGGCGGTGGGCTCTTCCACACTACAAGCATTCAGGATACAACACCATAGCCACAGTCGGGACACGTCGAGCGACCAGCCGCAAGAATGTGTGCTCGGATTCATACCAGGGAGACGTTTTTTGTTACGAATCTCAACAGTTTATTAGATCAAATCTTCAGGTACCCTTTGCAGAGACAAATCTTACAAACAGCGCTGCCAGGTAGAGCTTCCAGAACATATACAGAGTGCTTTATAGGTTCTGAGTCACAGTGTACCCAGCAGCAGGGCAGGTGAAAGGGAACACAAAGAAGTGAGAGATCTGCAGAGGATTCTTAATACAATAGCACTTGATTACGGGAGAGTAACACAGCAAATGCAGGTCTTGGCTACCAGTCTGTACAAAAATTAGTCAGGCTTGGTTGCTGCGGCAAGTAGGTTATAGCAGAAAAGCCAAAATACAGTTAACTTTAACAGCTGAATGTAGCAGGTACCTCAGCTGAGCGCAAGAGTTCCAGTCTCTTGAAGGAATGGCAATGCTAAACAGTAACCTGGCTTGGAATTCCGATACTTTCTGAGAAAGAGGTGCAGGTATTTTTTAACACAAAGGCACATATAAGCAACCTTTTTCTACCAGGATTTATCTGAATTCCCCGACACCATCCAAGACGGATGGTTCACTTGCACTGGGAGCCCTGCACTGAGCAGGGGGGTTGGGACCCAGTGGCCTTCTGGCCCCTTCCAACTCATCTATTCTATAATTCTGTGAAAAGAAAAAGACACAGAGTTAATTTTTTCCACCCTGTAAAATACTTTATTTTGCTTGACCCATAAGTTCTTGTGCAATATACAGCTGTACCTATAGAATAAATTTTATCCAAAGGTCTTGAATACATTATATTTGCTTTAAATTTCATGGGAAGGGGAAATTCTTGTTCCCCCAACCCGTTAAATAAACATTTGCCCATTTACTTCATGATGGGTCTCTAATACGAAATGTAGGGCTTTTTTTCCTTTTTCTTTAAAAAAATAGAAAGTACAATTTTTCACAACAAGACATTCAATGCGAACAGAAGCAGTTCAGTATTCTAAATCTAAAAATGCATTTCTTTCTGGGAACAGCTGTCTGCCCACTAAAGTGTGTGCTCGTGTGAGACCGTGTGTAGCATTTAACAAATAAGCTGTCCCCGTATCTTTTTTCTTCCCAAACATAAAGCATGAAAAACAGGCTGAAATTGTATAGATTTCTGTTTTACACCAACATTCACAGGAATAAATACATCAACCAAGTTTTTTTTTTCTTTTCAAACACATGTGAAGATTCTAGAAGTGATAAACACACATCAAAGCTTTCTTAACAAAAATAGATAAACGTCTCCGTTTGTATAGAGATATATAAACTGCATCCCTTGTGAATCATCTTCTTCTCCTCAGGTCATCCCTCCAGACAACATCACCCCAGTCTACTTTCTGTGCAGGGTATTTTCAATCTATCCCTGTCCACCATGAGGACTAGAAACTCATGTTGGTTTTGTTTTCTAAGAGCTGAATGTCAAAATGCAGGGTTGCTGTATTTGTGGGATGTAAATATTCTGCCTTCCTCACTCTTTTACTGGTCTGAACTGGACTGTACTTTTTGACTCACTGATACTTTATAGGGCGTATTACAAACAGCAGTGCAGGCTGTGAGAATTCTGATAGTGGTGATCCAGCAAAATTGGAGTGTGTCAAGTCAGGTATGGCTAACTGCCAGTGTAGAAAACTTTCTAATAGTGGTACGTCCCAGAGCCACAGTTCCTAGGACAAATGTTAAACACGTTTAACTTTCCTACACCATTTGGGTTACCCATAAAATGTGACCCTAATATGCCACAAAGCCAGGGAAGGACCCAAGAATCAGAAATGGGGAAAGGTGTTGGGGTTCCACTGGGACCCTCAACTTGGACCACCACTATGACAGCCACAATGCAGTAGTTACGCTGAGAAGTGGCAACTATTATTATTTTTTTTAAATCCGTGCCCCTGGGCCGTTTGGATCGAAGGAAAAAGTGCATGAGTGACGTTAGCAGTGTGAAGCATGGAGAATATTAGAAAGTCCCAAATGCCATCCTCGTTGGTAGCCTGTGTACCTTTGTAACACAAAATGCAGACTTTAAAAAACTTCAAGCTGGCAGTTGTTCAGTTCTGCTCCTGGGTGCTTTTTTCCTCCCATTTTTTAAAATTTTTATTTGTCTGTATTTATTTTATTTGCATACTTCCCAATAGCCCAAGCCCTGCAGGAAGCAGACAACAATTTATCACGAAAGGAGGGGCGAAACTGGAATCTAGGGAACCCAAGCTCAGGCGGGCAAAGTGCATTTTACATGTGTAGCAGAATTTCTGTCCTGACATAAGGTGCTTCTCTGGTCCTAGAGTGGATGGGATGGAAAAAGAAAACACCTACAACCTCATCCATGTTATGTCTTGGTTTGGTGAGAATGCTGGTCATTTAACTTCATGAGCTGCAGAAAAATGGGGCTATAATATTTCTCCCCACCATCTGAAAAATCTGGTCAGCATTCAAGAATTAAATTATAAATACGCTTTCCTGGATAGAGTGTCAAAAAATTTCCCTTTAAGTAGAAATCCCCTCAGCTCATCAGCTTCACATCACTCTTTCCCTCCACAGACCCTCAGCCTGGAGTGCCTGGAAAATAAGACCCGGCAAAATGATGGCAGATCTTTTCTAAAGGCACCAACTCCGTCTTGATGAAAAATCAGCAGAGCTGACTTCTGGAAACTTCTGGAGAGCTTTGCAGTCAGGGTTGGCGGGGGGGGGTGCCCATGGCCACACTCCTGTCCTCCTTTGACACATGCCAGCATGAGCTCATAGCCTCTGAGAACAAACAGAGTGCTTCCAGGGGATCCCACCCAATCCCACTGCGCAAACCAAGCAATGTGGGAAGGGTGCGAGATCTGCAGAAGGAATGAAGTCCTGCTGACATCGGGATTTAATTTTAAAAACCCCAGTGAATTTGAACACAAATATTTAGCCTAATCAATAACCCACCACTCCCCAGCAGCTCTGCTGTGGGAAGAGAGTAGATTTAATGGCTGACTGTGCGAAATGACTTAGATGGCACTGCTTCTGTTTCAGTCGAGACGATGATGGTCTAGGGCCTCCTAGAACCTCAGAAGAGGTATCAAGATTCCCCCACATTCTAATTTTGCCCTGCTTTTCCCTTGCAAAAAGTTGACAATCCTCTTCTCTGTTGTAATTTTAAGAGGGGATTGAGGGTGATACAGGTAGAGCTGGCAGTTCTGAATTTCCATACCTTTGTGTCTGTCCTTTGTTTCGTGTCCCATGTGTACCGGGAATCTGCAGGCTCCGCTTTCCCTACCACAGACCTTTCAGTGTTACCGAAACACCATGGACAAAGCCGCAGGAAGGAGCTTCCGGGCCTGGTGCTCCCTGAATATCTAAGCTTCTGGCCCTGAATTAAAAACTGACAGCACTCTGTGTGTGAGCAAGTAGGATTTGGTCTTTTTTCTGAGGAGCGGCTCAATTACTCCATCAGGGACCAAAAGTTGGGGAATCCACATCCCTCCAGATGTTGCAGGATCACAGCCCCCTCTCTGGCACAGCTAGGGGATGAGGGGAATTGTAGTCTCACAACAGCCATGAGGTCCCCACTGCAGACGTCGAGCGATGCTTTTCTGCTGCCAAGTTAGCCCTCTGAATTCAAGTCCCCTTCAGTTTCTACTCTCTCCTTTCTATCGGGGGGTCCAGCCCCTCTGCTCTGGATTGTCAATTGCCAATTATATTTCCAAAATCTTCAAGAGGCCACCCCTGAAAGATTTTAAAAAACACACACTTCCGGTCTGCTGTGGGCCCCGGCAGGGTTCGTTCCCCTACAGACACCTCCCGGCTCGAGCTCCCAGCCTCAGGTCGACCAGGCCTTGCCTGGCCTGCTTCCTGTACGTCAGAGCTGGCTTGTTTAAATGAGGAAAAAGTTACAACACGGCACAGAGGGATATGCAAACCCACCGAAGGAGGCGGGCATGCAGAGCAGCATGAGGGCAGGCATTATGCGGGTCTTGTGAGTTTCTGTGGATGTGCTCCCGTGTTGTGGGGGACGAGCGGAGAGGAAAAGTTTGCTCAAAGCAGGCAGGTGATGCAACAGTGCTACCTATCTATTTGTTCTAGTAAAAGGCATTCACATTCATTTTGCCAGTATGGCAAACACCAGGGGGTGGGGGTTGGGGGTCCTTCAAAGGTGCATCTACATTCAATAGCAAACCACGGTGAGGAGAAAGATACCCCAACCGTGACCTGATTGTTGGTCACTTGATTTACAATAAACCTGTGGGTGGGGGGTTGCGTACTTTTGATTCTCCCCCCCCCCCACCACCTTCTGCTAGCCTCCAGAGTTTTGGTTACTCTGCAGATCTATGCCACCAACGGCTCTTAACTCTCCCAAGCTCCACTGCAGTACAGCTCAGAGCTGAAGACCTCTTTGTAAAGGGGTGGAAAGTTTGTGGCGGTCTCCGGATAGATGAGGCGGAAAAATTCCAGTTTGTCCAAGTGAAGTTTGCAGATTGTCTTCATCAAGGGGAGTTTGGAAATGATCTAGAGAGAAAAGAAGACCAGTTTAGAAAACGGAGCAGAAGGAAGTTTCAACTGCTTAGAGGTGGAGCTGGATTTATGCCGCTGCTGCTGAGAAAAAGCAAGCAAACATGACATCATCCCTTTCCCTGTAGTTCTCCTCAAGAGGAGCTTTCCTAGAAATGGAGCCCTTTTCTGGTCAGGAATGCATCTGGAAACGGGGAGCAATTCAACCCCGTGGGAACAACAGCACACGGAAGACAAGACAAGAACTGGAACCGGAAGGAGGAAAATGCTGCTGGAAATGTTTACCGTGCCACGTTGCCAGGGCTTTGGCTTCTGGTTTATTTGTTGGATTAGGAGAAAGCCCCTTTACTCTTGGGGTTTATACCTTTTCCCCTTTGTTGGTGTTCCCAGGACCATGTGGCATTGTCCTTTCGGTGTGATACCCCTGCTTGCAAAAACAAACCCTTCACATAGGATCTTTTGGCAAGATCAGAAAGCAAGGCTGGACGTTCCTCATCCAAAAAGACCCCCCAAAAATGGCTGCGAAGCACGAGGGAGACCGTGGAGATTTCAGGTGAAGGCCCCACAAATTACTATGAGCATGAAAATCAGGGGTGCAAGATAAATGCCTTCATGCGGGAAAGCTCCCTATCAGATGGTGAAATTTGTCTAAATTGGTTTAAAATGTCTACTGCTCTAGCTCAGAGCATGGTCTGAAGGCGCATGCACCATGTGGAAGCTAAGCAAGTCCGAGACTGGTCTGAGCTTGGAGGGGAGACCCCGTTGGAACTGCATGTCACCACCTTGAGCCCCACTATGGGGGAAAGGTAGGATATAAATATGAGAAATAAATAGTACAGACTTTCCTGATTAGGTGTACCCTTCAGATGTGCTGGACTACAGTTATGCTGGCTGAGGCTGATGGAGGTTGCAGTCCAACTTTCCAAGAAGGGATCAGGTTGGAGAAGGCTGGATTAGTTTTCTCCACCACAACTGCTTTGAGAAAGCTTGGGATTTGCAGTACATCTTCAAGATGATCTTAAGGTCTAGAAACTTGCTTTTATAAGTTTTTTTTAAAGCAAGCCAGCAAGCCCAGGTCTGAAAGCTGAATTTCCAGGCCCAACTTTGTCATTTTGTGACATGTGATGTCTGTTAATAGAAACGCATGGGTCAGAGACCATTCCCTGGTACATAATGAAAGATGGGAAATACAAGGAGCCAGCTAGCTCTGACACCTATCAGTCTGGGCATGATAACCTCCTCAACCTGTCCCCCCATATACACCTCTCTCCCTGCACATATTCCTACAAAAGCAGCAACAGATCCAGCTGTGCTCCTTGGGTTTGTATGATTAAATAAAGATCACTAAAAATGCACAGGTAGGCATACTTGGTAGGAGTGTCCACCAGTCATGTGCTAAAGAATTATTGTGCACAAAATATTTCTGCGCAGCCTTTCAGGGCAAGCCTTCCCCACAAGAGCAGCTTGCACAATGCAAAAATACACTACAATACAATGCAAAAATACAATAAAAACAGCAGAACAGTGAAAATAACATCTGTGCATAGTTTTTGTCCTGGGGGCCAGAGCCCCTGAAAATTGGGTCCCCATTATTATTTCATTGCATTTATATTCTCCCATTTTTCCCCTTTTCTGAGAAGCCCAACACATCCCAGGCAGCTTCATTTTAATCTCGCAACAACAACACTGCAGGGTAGGTTAAGCTGAGAGGGAGTGGCTGGCCTAAAGTCACCTACGAAGCTTAATGGCCAAGTAGGGACTTGAACCCGGATCGCCTGGGTCCCTGCCCCACATTCTTAACCACTATGTCACCCTTGCCTCATCCCTACCCAGGTGAGTGGGCACCGCACCTTCCTTCTCTGCCTATAGGGAATTCCCACCTTCTAAATCAATCAGTCTCCCTCCCTCCCTCTCTCTCTGCATTCTCTTTTCTTAATTTTTATTGTTACCTTGGATAATCTGTCATCATGGACATTTTTCTTCTGGGTTTCGTGCTGCAGAGACAAGTAGATTTTGTCCTGGAGTTTCTGGACCCTCTTTGGCTCAAAAAGACAGGGGCGATCTGAGAAACAGAGAGAAGTGATCAGTCAGCATCGCTGGGAATTGCAAAACTGGCGTCATTTCTTTGCAGTTCAAGCAGTGATTTTCTGTGTCTGGCAGGGATGGTGACTCCCAGGAAAGGAGCTAAGAAAGGTGGGCTCGAACAAGAAGTTGCTCTGATTGTCTAGCTGGGTCAAAGCATTTATTAGGAGGGTGAGTACCCAGAAGAGGGCCTTCTCTGCGGTGGCGCCCCACTTATGGAATGTGCTCCCCCAAGAGGTCCACCTGGTGCCGTCGTTATTTGTTTTTTTGGCACCAGGCCAAGACCTTTTTATTTAAACGTTATTTTAATTGTTGAATTTATTTATTGATTTTATATTTATGCTGGGATGTCTCCAGTTTTTATGTATTTTTATGTATTTGTATAGTTATTTATTAGTATTGGAAGCCACCCCAAGGCTCTTGCGAATGGGGCGGCATATAAGTGTTCCAAATAAATAAATAAATAAATAAATAAAGTTAAAGCATTTTATTGCATGCTTCAGGCAACCAGGCTTACATGAGGTCCGTTAAAAATAATAAAGGCAGTCCCACTGGCTTACAGTAAAGAAAAAAATACATGGCATACAAGGAAAAGAGATGGGGAGGGTAGAGGAAAAATTAATTAGTTTGTCAGTAGGATGACCCTATTTCCTCTCTCATCTCCCTCTGAACCCAGATGGAACCCCCTGCATCACATGATGGTCTTTTTCCACCAAGTGAAGACCTTTCTATTCTCCTAGGGCTTTTGGAAACATTGATGATTTTAATTTAGTTTTAGGGATGATGAACAAATCTGCAACAGCCCAAATGAGTTTGGATTTGTATGAATATGACTTGGTCTCTGCAGCAGATTAGTTTTTTTCCAGGTTGTACAAATCTGCAGATGAATTCTTTTAAAATACATATTTTCTGTATTTGGATGGAAATGTAGGTTTAAAAAAAAAACCTTGCTAAAATGTGCATTTCCTCTATAGGCTAAGCCATGAATATGTGGATTTGGAGCGATTTGCATAATTTAGGGGATTTGTGAATTTTTGGAAGTGTGAATTCACAAAAGATTGTGCAAATTTGTTTCTGTCAATGAGGAGTCTTGGAAATCTTCAAAATTGAAATGGAGCATCGCTAAGGAGGGTGGGGTGTGGGGGAGCCCTCCACCAGCCCCCAGGTGTATTCGCCCACCCCTGGAGAAGACACGAGATGGACCAGTCATCGTTGTTCCTGGGCTGCCAGCGTATCTTGCAACAGAGGGCAAGAAAACACAACCCACGGCACCTGGCAGCCATACCGGTGCTCGGGCGAGCCACGCACCTGGCGAGAAGAGGACTGCAGCCGTGAAGAGTGCCACCTCCGCTTCTGAGAGGTGCAGCTGGCAGAGGCTCCTTCCCAGTTCAAAGATGGCGTTGATGAGGTCGTCGCAGCCTAAGGAAAGAGTAAACTTTGCTGGGTGGGGCGAATCATTGCGGCCTTGCCACTGTGGCACCCCAAGTCTTTGTTCCACATGTTTTTGGAAAGCTGAAGGCAGCAAAATGGAAAATATATCCTGTGTGGAGGTGCAAATGGGGCAGGGGGTTCTCTTTGGGAACACCGCCTTGACTCCTCAGGACGGGGGTCTTTCTACCACACGGATATTTCTGTATGACACCTAATTTGCCTGGCCAGGGTGACTTATTTTATATTGTTAAATGTTTGTATTTTAACTTATGTTGTGAGCCGCCCCAAGGCTTTGGCGAATGGGGCAGCATAAAAATGTTTTAATAAATAAATAATAAAAATAAATAATAAAAATAATTTGGGGTGTCTCAGCTACTCATCAAAAGGGTTATGCAGCTAGTCCCTCTTTTCCTCCTTAGGCAAAGAAGTGAAGAGGATATAAAGTGGAACAGAACAATATTGCCAGAATCCGCCATGAAAATCAGCGGGGGTGACTGCGTGTTCTAACGTTGCCTTTTTCCCTTTCAAAGCACTCAGGACCACTTAGAACACTCTCCTGCTCTCAATCTCCCCGCCACAACAAGTGGGCCTCAAATGGAGCCACCTGGGTGACTTTGGTCCAGTCACAAACTCTCAGCCCAGCCTACCTCACAGGGTTGGTGTTGTGGAGAGAAGATGGAGAGCAAGAGAAGAATGATGTAAGCCGCTTTGAGTTTGTGAGAAAAAAGAAGGATCAAAATCTAATCAATAAATAAAGGTAAAGGTTTCCCCTTGATGTGAAGTCCAGTCATGCCTCATCTCCATTTCCAGCCTGAGGGAGCCGGCGCTTGTCCGCAGACGGTCTCCGGGGTCATGTGGCCGCATGACTGAACACCGAGGTGCACGGAGTGCTGTTACCTGCCCACTGAAGTGGCACCTCTTTATCTCCTCGCATTTGCATGCTTTCGAACTGCAAGGTTGGCAGGAGCTGGGACGGAGCAACGGGAACTCGCCCCGTTGTGCAGATTTGAACCGGCGACCTTTTGATCAACCAGTCCAGCAGTTTAAACCACTGCGCCACCGGCATCCCCAGTCAATAAATACTTAAGTAATAAATAAATAAAACATGCAAACCCTGGGAGAGTACCAAATAGCTGGAATGCCAGACAGCTGGATTCAGACCTGAGCCAGGCAGGAGTTGGCCCATAGACTTGAAACTGCAGCTCTGGTATAAAGAAACTGCGGCACTGAGAACTCCCCCCCCCCGCCCCGCCCCACTCCCATGGCCGTGAATCCTTTCTGTTTTGGGTCAGGCATGCAACTAAACCAGCAAGGTCGTTAATCATCACCACTGTGGTCAGAAATGATCACCCACACTCAAGAGCTACCTACAAAGAACCCATTCCTGCTCACCAACCATGTTGTGCCGTGGTTTGTAACTGGGTTCTGAAGTGTGGGTTATCCATGCATAACCAACCATGGGTCGCCAGGGCAGCTAGGCCGTGTTTACCCATGTGTCACGCATAGGCCAACGACAACCTTCCTTCCGCTGCTAAGGATGGACTGTCGTGTGTTCTGAGCCCTGAGAGTCGGTCTTCCGAGAGTTGGCCGTCCGTTCTTACCGAGTGGCTTGAACATCTGTGTCCCACTGTATTTCCCAGCAAAGAGTACTGCGTTGTTCAAAGGGTTGAAGGCCTGAATCATTCGAATGAGGAGAACCTCAAGACAACCTAATATGCACAGAGATACCAGAGGAGGGAGGAGGAGGAGGAGGAGGGATGAAGGAAAGTTTCCATGATCCGGAGCATTTGGCGGAACGGAAAGGAAAAAGGAGAACAGAACCCATCCAACCAAATCCGTGGTTCAAACAACCACATTGTTATACATCATCGTTAAGTATCGTTAAATGATACGAGAAGGGAAATGTTAAGAATTGAACCCACAAAGAAAGGAAGAGGTGGAATAAAATAAAATAAAAAATGGAAAGAAAAGGAGAAAGAAGGGATTAGAGGTGTATTTTACATTATTATTTGTTTCAATAAATAATATTTACATCTTGACATTTTACATCATTTGATATTGTTGCATTTTTCATTTTGACTCATTGTGTTTTGTAGTACTTATTCTGAGTTTTCATATACTGTCTATTACGTATTTTAAAATTGAATTCATATACTGCCCAAAGATCCATGGGGCAGGTAAAGGTAAATTGAAATCAATCCATTCATTTTTATTGAACAGTCACAGACCCAACAACAACTGAAATGAAGTGAAATGACGTAAAAAAAATAAGATGAGCTTTACTGGATCAGACCCAAGGCCCAGCGAGACCCACATTTGGACAAGTACCCAGCCAGCTGCCCATGGGGTGCCCCTAGCTAGAACATGAGTGCATCAGCACGCTCCTGCCATGTTCCCCAGCAACTGGGGTACACAGCCCTCTGATCCTGGAGGCAGCTTAAATCTTGAGGACTAGGAGCACCAAAACTCCTCCTCCAGCCATTTGTCCAGATTGCAGCACTGACCACATCCTCTGGGGAAGGAAATGCCATATTGAATTCTGTGGTGTGCGCAAAGTCCTTCCTCCGACTGGTCCTGAATCTCTTCTCTCATCAGTCGCATGGGAAGGGCCCCAGTCTTAAGGGAGCAGGATCGAAAAGGTGCCCTCTCCTCCTCCTCCACCCCAGGTGTAATTCTGTACTCCTCTCCCATGGGCAAGAGGCGAGCACAACTCTTTCTAAGCACCCCACTGTGAACTTTCCTCAAAGATGAGTTGCTCCGATGCAACAGGAGCAGCAGGTAAATTCACATATGGACCTTTGATTTGTCGTTCATCTTTACATGGACAAATGCTCAGCTGAGAAGGTGTGCATTCACGCAGCAGGTGCAATCAGGTAAATGAGGGGCACCTTCCATGAGGCAGGGGGAAATCTGGCCTCGGGCAGATGATTGCAAGAGACGTCTGAGCCAGATTCTTTGCTAGCCAGAGAATGAAGCAAACTGCCACCCCAGAGGATGCGACAATCAACCGCCTAATTCCAGGGCCTGAGCTCAGCACGATCCCCAAGTTTTCATGAAGGGTCTTTCATAAGCTGACCATGGAATAAATGTCAGGGCTGAACCCCTTTCCCAAGATGTTGTTTCCTTCTTAAAACCCACAGCAGGAGAACGGTTGTCTAAAGCCCCTCACCTGCTTTGAGGAGAATGATTTGGTCGTTCTGACATAGCTCCATGAAGCCGTCGATGCGTTTGGCAAACTCCACGACATAATGGATAGCGTTCGAAATCTGCTGGGCACATTCCTGCCACATGGCCTCGCAGCTCTGTCAGGAACAGAACCAGGGAAAGGGGTCAGCCCACAGCTTGGATGCCTGCAAATATTTACCTTTGCCTTCACCCTGCCACACACGACCAACAAGGCCCCCCCTGCATGTTATGATTCTGATCCTGGATGAATGAGCCTCCATGGGCAGAGGAAGTCTACCTCTGCTGTGGACAAACATGCCCTCTTTCTCCATCACACCCATCCTAGGCGAGCATTTTGAAGGGCAAGATCTTCAGTTCGACCTATCCAAGCAGTCCTGAACTGACTACAGGAGAAGGAAACCTACCTTGTTTTGCATGTTCTTGATCCTCTCCTGTGAGTAAAATGTCAAGGTGAGCTCTTTCAGTTCCTCGCTGGTGTACTGCAATGTGTCCATGTGTGATTTGACCACATTCTGGATCATGAATTCTGACAACACAAAAACATGCAGCGGTAAGGAGGTTTTCCCCAGTGACACCCAGGAAGCTACATCACAGGACTGAAGCTCCATCAGCGTTTCCCCAGAAAACAAGATGCAATTAAATTTCAGCCCTGCAAAGAATCTGGAGGCTTGTCAGGCCAGGAATCCTGACCTGTTACCTGATCTTTGCCTACAGGGGCTAAATTTGGGACCTTCTCCGTATTGCCCTCAAAACCGGGTCTTATATTAATTTTTGCTCCAAAAAATGCATTATGGCTTATTTTCAGGTGATGCGTTATTTTTTCACATACAAAATTCTACATTTATTCATGTACAAAAGTCTACATTTATTCAAATAGTCATGCCATTTTCATCTGGAACATCATCTTAACTCTCCAAACCCTGCACTGTCTTGCAATGGATGTGCAAAAAGCTTCTGTTTGGCTGACGATCTTAAATGGGGCTTTTTTGGGGGTAGGACTGATATTATGAGCATCCTGAAAAATCGTGCTAGGGCTTATTTTCTGGTTAGGTCATATTTTTGGAGAAACGGGGTACATGTAAAGCATGTGCCACAGAGTCATTGGCTCATCGGAAAATTATTAAAAGGCCAAGAAACCGATGCAAACCCCCGAGACAAAAACAACAGGGACTAGAAACATGAGAGAATGCTACCTGGGTATGATTTGTCCTCATGAAACAGGAACAGAAGCTAACCCCATCTGTAACAGGGATTAATGAATCCCTGAGCACCTTTGCAGCTGAACAGGATCTGGCTGCCATGAGCCACCAAGGTACTAACCAAGATCCATCACTGATATATCTGAGGCCAGCTGGATGCTACTGAGAGGGCTGTGGGAGAAGGGGCTCGGTTCAAGCGCCAACTCGCAGAGGGCGTCTGGCTTGGCATGCATGGAGTCGCTGTTGTCCATACTGGATGGGTCTGGCGACGGCTGCGTAGAGGTCAGCAGGTCCAGGTTATAGCCAGTGCTGTCTCCATCCGGGGTCAAAGGGAGGTCGAAGAGCAACCCATCTGACAGCACAGAAATATCGTCCAGGTCGGACAGGCCACTGCTCACGCTGGTGGTGTGTACCCTGGACGACATCTCCAGGTCACCCTTGGCTTGGCTGATCTGATCCTGCATTTTCTGGTGCTTCTGCACCTCAGCGTAGAGGCTGTCCCGTTGCTTCTTGGACATGCGGCCAAACTTGACGGCTGCGAGGGTGGAGGGACAGCAGGGGACCAGGTATTAGAAGGTGGCCACATCCAAACAGGCCTTCCCCTGATGGGCTTGAAGAAAAAGCCAGTTCTTCAAGACCCCATTCGAGATCTCTATCAGACTCTGAGAGGCGGCCTGCTGGCACCTTGGCCCAGGCACCTGGCAATGCCAGGAAGAAGCCATCCAACATGACTTCCATGGGAGGTGTGGAAGCCCAATGGTGAGGGCTGGACATGCACATGGTGGGCATGTCGTGAGCAGAGCCAGCTAGAGCCGGGGGTCAGACTAGATGGCCCAGGAGGCTCCTTCTGACTCGCTCTGTTTCTAAGTTTCTAACGCAAGCAAGAGCATAGGGAACCCAGCTAAAGAACTAGTGACTGGAGGGGCAACCTTATTTGCTGTTCTGGCCAGGGGAAGCTTTTCATTTTTGGCTTGATGGAAGTTTAAAGAGTTGCACCAAGCCATGGGTTATAAACCATGGTTGGTGACCATGTCATGCGAACCCAGTCAGTCCAGCCACATGTGCTTTGTGGCTCAACCCGCACGGACAGGTGCGTCTGTGCTGCCTTCCCCTCTTCCTGAACAGTCCTAACCCTTCAGCTGGCCCCACCGGCTAGGTCAAAGCCGAAACCCACCATCGCGGGACATGCCCAAGGCCAAACACTTCTGCAAGCGGCAATATTGACATCGGTTCCGGTTGTTGCGGTCAATGACGCAGTTCTTTTGCCTTGAACAAGAGTAGGCGGTACTGCTTTGCTGGCTCCTGCGGAAGAAACCCTGTGCGGAACGGACAAGAACAGGAGGAGAGTGAGGTGTTTCTTGAGAGCCGTAAGAAGACAAGGTGGAGGATGGATAGATGGCTGGCACATGGGGTAAAGCGCACACTAAAACCATGCCTGGATCACACCACTGCAGTCCGAAATGCTGCAGGTATGGATATGCTGGTGGAGAAACTGGGGAGTGTTGGGATACACCAAAGCACCGTCCGGTGGATTAGGGCATGGCTGACTGACCGAAAGCAGAGGGTAGCCATTAGTGGGGAATCATCGGGATGGCAGCCAGTGACAAGCAGGGTCCCCCAGGGCTCTGTCCTGGGGCCGATCCTGCTTAATCTTTTCATCAATGACATGGAAGAAGGGGTGAACAGTCTCTGATCAAATTTGTAGATGACACTAAAACTGGAGCAGTGGCCACAACTGAGAAGCAGGTACTCCAGATCCAAAAGGCTCTGGACTCTTTGGGTACTTTCCTCGGAAGAGGGGGAGCAAAGCCCTAGTGTCCAACTTCTGTATCAGGGGCCAGGTTCCAGCAACAGACAGAAGCAAAGGGGAAATACTGGGACCCAAGTAACAGAACTATCTATCTATTTTACTGTATTTTTTTCCTGCCAGTCACAAAGCCCTCAGAAGTGCATTATGATGTTTTAAGAATGGGGAAAATGGCACACCAGCTGTAAAACCACCCCATGCTTTGCATTTGGGGCAGTGAGGCCAGTGAGGGGAAGGGGTGTCAATTTGGGACCACAATTTATTTTTACTTATTTATTTTATTTATTTATTTTCAGATTTATATCCTGCCTTTTTCCTACAAAGGGCTCAAGGCAGCTGACATCATTCTCCTCCTGCATCTTATCCCCACAACAACATCCCTGTGAGGTAGGCTGGGCTGAGAGTCTGTGACTGGCCCAAAGTCACCCAGTGGGCTCCATGGCTGAGTGGGGACTCGAACCCAGATCGCCTGAGTCCCAGTCCCACGCTCTTAACCACTACGCCACACTGGTCTCACCAATGGGCTGGTTTGTCTCCCCAGCTGAAGTTCGGAATCCTGGCTTGAAGGGAAGGTGCCTTGGCAGGCATTCCTGAAGAGGAAGAGTTTTGCAATTCAATCTCACACATGTTTATTCAGAGGCTACCTGAGAACAGGTCACCTGAGAGGAAACCACTGAACTCAGTGAGGCTAACATGCTGGCCCGGATCCACATAACTTCAGGTAGAGCTGGGATATCTTGCAAGAAATCTCCGGGCTTTTGCAGGGTCAACCCTCTTGGCTAAACAGACCAAAGGCTAAACTGGCAAAATGCAGGTTCTTCAGCTTTAACTCTCCTTGGTTTTGTTTGCAGTAAGTCAGCTGAGAAACCCATCCTGAGGGTCCACTCTTACACCCTCCCTCCATACAAGGGCCCTTGGCCCTAACTCACCTTGCATCCCTCGCAGGTGATGACACCATAGTGGATCCCAGAAGATTTGTCTCCACATATCTTGCAGGGGATGACCTCAATTTGTGCTGCAAAGAGAAACACAGGTGGGGAGGGGAAAAGAAGATAGTCCAAATGGTAAATGGCCTTTCAGCCACGCCTCTTTTAGAAGTTAGGAATTTATTGATTCTGCAGTGCCAAGTACCCAAAATTAAACAGATATGTTTTAGTGGCATTAATGCTGTCTGCAAAGGAGGGATCCCTGCCCCAGAGATCTTACAGACGTCCAAGAAGGAGGTGAGAAAGAAAGGGTTAAAACTGCAAGAGTCGTGGAAATAAGTGAATTCGGAGAAGCGATCTGAAGAGAAAGAGGCACCGAAGACTGCCCTTGTGCAATTGACAGTGGCTTCACCGAAGAAATCAGGAAATGAGGCTTTTAAAGGATGGGCAGCTAAGCCCCGCAAGCTGAGCTGGGTTAAAAGCACTGCAGCCAGCTGGAAAAGCTGGCAACCACTCTTGGTATTATCTTTCAACTTGCAGTGCCACCAGCTCCCTGGAGAGGGCAGTCATGTACATGACAGAAATAGAATTATGTCACAGAAATGCAATTTTTAAAAATAAAATGCACAACAGGTTAGGGAGACGTAAACATTTGGGCAGCTTGGCTAAGAAGAATCTAGAAACAGGATCATGGCCCAGACTCCAGCACGGGCTACTGAAAGCTGGCAAAAAACAAGCTTTCAACCAGTTATTTATCTGGACCCTTGCACTCTAAGAGTCTCTGTATTTGCTCTCCTTGTATTTTCCATGCCAAAAGAAGATACTGGCAGAGAGAGAGAAAAACAGCTGACCTCATGTAGAGCGAGAGCAACAGACATGGTCCCCTCTCTCTCTCTCATTTTTTTCCATGTCACTCAACAGCTGAATCTGTTTAGGCAGTTCACAACAGCACATTAAAATACAATGACAATGCACCACATCAAGGCATATTTTCCGCAAGAACAGGTCCTGCCAGACAAACCTTGTGGGATTCTATGTCAAGGTTTCGAGGTGGCTGGATGGAGGGGATGCAGTGGATGTGGTATACCTGGATTCCAGCAAGGCCTTTGACAAAGTGCCCCATGATATCCTGGTGGAGAAACAGGAGTTTTGGGATACACCAAAGTGGATTAGGGCAGGGTTGACTGACTGAAAGCAGAGGGTAACCATTAGCGGGGAATCATCAGGATGGTGGCCAGTGACAAGCGGGGCCCCCAGGGCTCTGTCAGGATGGCATTCAGTGAGGATAACTGCAAGGCCTTGTACTTGGGGCATAGGAATGAGTGCCATAAGTACAGGTTAGGGGACAAGTGGCTGGAGAGCAGCACTTGCGAAAGGGACCTCGGGGTGCTGACTGACTGCAGGCTGAACATGAGCCAGCCGTGTGATGCGGTGGTCAAGAGGGCGAACGCCACCCTTGGTTGCACAGCCAGAAGTGTGGCTTCTAGATCAAGAGAGGTATTACTGTCACTCTATACAGCTCTGGTGCACCCACAACTGGAGTATTGTGCTCAGTTTTGGGCCCCTCATTACAGAAAGGATATAGCCAGGTTAGAGTCAGTGCAGCGAAGGGCCACAAGGCTGGTGGCCAGTTTGCAGGGGATGCCGTATGAGGCGAGACTGAGGGAACTGGGCCTCTTCAGCCTGCAGAAGAGGAGACTCAGAGGGGATCTGTTGGCGACATGCAGGTGTGCGAGGGGGTGTCACACGGAGGTGGGGAGAGACCTGTTCGCCCCTGCAGAGGAAGGCAGAATGCGCTCCAATGGAGCCAAGGTTCCATTTGGATGCCAGGAAGCACTTCCTGACAGTCGGGACCCCGAGGGTGTGGAATGGGCTTCCACGGGAGGGGGTTGAGGCCCCATCGGTGCGGGTGCTCAAGGATAGGCTGGACGTCCACATGGTGGGCATGTTGTGAGCGGAGCCAGCTGGTGCCGGAGGTCAGACTAGATGGCCCGGGAGACCCCTTCTGACTCGCTCTGTTTCTATGTTTCTATATTGAAACATCATTATGAAGTTTACAACACAAAGTGCAAAACCATATATATGAGATAATTGAAGAAAATCTTAAAACCTGCTTAAGATGCCCCAAAAGTTACTTGAACTTGCAGTAAAGGGTGCTTTTTACCTAGCGCTGAAAAGATAGTGGTTTGCGCCAGGCAGGCTTCAGAGGGTAATGGGGGCCACCACCAAACAGGTCCTTCTCCTTGTTGCTGCCATCTGAGCCTTCCTTGAAGGTGGCAATTGGAGGCAGGCATGCTTAGAATGTGTGAAACCCCAAACTAATGATTTTTACAAATCCAGATCTTCAGAAATAAGTACAAATCATGTTTTAGAAATAAGATTTGAATCTTATCTGATTTCAGAGATGTTTTCAGACCCCTCTGTTCTTGAGTCTTGGGGCAATATGGTATTTCAGCCAATGAAAAACACCTCCCCTCAAAAAACCCCCTTCAAAAATCCCAGTATATCATTACTTTCATTAGGATAAACTAAAACATCACAGACATTTGAGTTTTGCAGAGCTGATACTCAGGTTGGATACTATGCAAAACAATTTGGTGGGTGGGGCAAGAGTTTGTTGACATCACAAATAAGTATAACAGACTTGCAGCACACCCTGCTATGTGTTTACTCTGAAGTAAGCCCTGCTGTTTCCAGTGGGACTGACTCCCTTGCAAATTTGCATATGGTTGCAAACTTAATTAGATACTGCTAGATGCAAAACAGATCTCAAACGTCATTGACATCAGTTTTGGGCGGTGCACAAATAAAATTATGCATGACCGGTATGATCCCCATGCACGTAAAGAAAATAACAGAGCGCTTAAGGAATTGGTTAAACATATCTTGTAGTTGTGGGTTGATAACTGTTTTACTTCTTATGCATGTTGCTTCTTATTTAGGCCCTTTAAGCTTGGTTTAAATTTTGCTCGTTTAGTCTGCTCACCACCTCGAGTTCCTTGTCAGGTGTGACAGGTGGACTGGCAGCTCCCGGCCAACCTGCAAACACGACTGGGGTGAACTGAGAGGTTCCCGCATCTGTTGTCTTTCCCTGTTGGGGATTCCAGTTGATGCAATACACAAATAATTCCTTGACTGGGACTCCTTACAGTTTGGGGCTCTCCCCGGAAGCTTCTGTGATATTCTGCTGCTTTTCATTCAATTGCCATTCTTCTAGGGAAATCCAATGCTGGAGATGTCTGGCTCCAAATTTTGAAGGCTCACAACCCTTCCAGGTGGAAAGGATTCCAGATTTGCCAGAGGAAAAGACTCCCTAAGCAGTTTATTACTTTTGAAAGGGGGATCTGCGACATTCACAGACAGGAGGACTGAAGAAAGGAGGTCTAGGTAGTTGTGATATGTAAGCACCTAGGGCCAGAGACCTTGTCTCTTGCTACTTGTGTTGCAGAAATAGAATCATCATTCTGTTTAGAATGGTGCTCTTCAGTTTAGAAAAAATGCTGCCACTAATTGAGGAGGTATAAAAGAGATTTATGAAATTATCCATGGTGTTCAAATTGAGAATTTTCCCTTCTCGATTTCTTCATACCTGCATCAGTATGAAGTAGCAGATTAGCAGAGGGTCAGGATAGACAAGAGGAAGTTGGATTACACAATGATGCATCTGTAATTAACGTAAGGAACTTAGTGCAGCAGGAGGCAGCCAGAACCATTAATTTAAGCAGCAGGAAAACAGGGGTTATACCTGTTCCATCTTTCCATTGTCATGAATCATGTTAGCTAAATAGAGCTTCTCTATTCAGAAGCACTCTGCCTCTGAATTCCAGCCACTGGAGACAAAAAGCAAAGGAGGGCTCCTGGAGACAGTTTGCAGGCCAGTCCTGGAAACAGAGTGATGTCTCCTTGGCCTGGTACAGGGACGGGGTTCTCGTGTTCTTGGGAGCAGATATCAGTAAGGATGTGGGGAGGAAGGTGTGGTCACTTAACTCGGTGACCTGAGGCAGGATTTGAATCCAGAGCAAGGTGTTAAGGCACCAAATCACAGACTGGGGCCGTTAAGGGAGAGCTACCAAGCAAAGTTCAAGGTTCTGTTGCTGGCACATAAAAATCTGAATAACTTGTCATCAGAACACATTGCCAAAAGCTTTCCTTTCCATACACCCAGTTGTCCCTTGACATCTCTGTGGTCCCACGACCAAACGGTACGGCCAGGTAGCAATGCATAAGCAGAGTTTTCTTAGTGGTGGTGCCCAGCCTGTGGAGCACTCCCATAAATTGTCTGACTAGCAGTGAGCTTCAAACCCTTCTTGAAAGATGTATGGATAATGAACTTGCCGGCATGGATAATAACTTGGCTTTTAGAGCTGTATTATTGATTTTGAGTGGCTGTTACATTGGTGATTTTGCTGCATAAGCCATATAAAAATACTCCAGAGGAAGGAAAGTAGAAAGAGCACTGGAGCCCTCTGTATTTTCCAAATCCCTGGTTTTGCTTCAAAACTTAGTACCACCACAATGGGCTCCTGAGCATACGCAGAGTTCCGTCTCCTTTCAAAATTGAACACGTCTGGGAAGGCTTTTCTGATGCCACATCATATGCCATTTTAAAAAACAACCGCCTAAAAAGGCTTGTTGCCTCAGCATTGCAAGAAATACTTTCCACTGAGGCGTGTCTTGTAAAATACGAGTGATTCATTCCAAGAAGGAAGTGGAGAGATTTTTAATTGCTTTTTCTTCCTCCTCCACCAAGAAACCTTCTCTGTGATGACAACTTTCAGAGTCTTAAGATATTCCCAACAGCTCACTGTGTCTCACATCCACCGGGACTTTCATAGGCAGTTGAAAAGCATTGAGCCCATTTTACAGGTAGCAGCACTGAGGTAGCAACAAACACTCCACTCAGTAATTTGAACCTTCCTCCTTGTGGGGACATGTCCCTGTTCATGTTTTCAGGGTTCTGGGGCCAAACTGCAACTGAGAAATACAACTGGTAGAAAGAGCAGCATTTCTTGGTCTGTGTTTCACATACACCATGAAGTCTAGTCTTCCCACACAAATATGCCCAAACAGACCAACCCAAAAGCTTCCC